TATTTACACTCTGATTTACAGTTGATGGAAGTTTTCAAATCTCACAGAGAAACAGAGAGATATACAGTAATCACTGTGTTTCCTCCAGTATCTCTCACACATAGAGCAACTAAAACAAACATCTGACTTCACATCCAAAATCCATAATCCGAGGTCCCCAGAGAAGAGCTGTTGCTGAGAAAAAGTCGTATTTATATGAATTAATGATAATTTTAGGGTGCTTCAACACGTCTACTCTGTCCTGTACCTTAGTATATTTGGGGCCCAAGTCTACTGCATTTTTATGAGTGTGAACTTGGAGCACTGTTGCAAAGCAGAGTATAACAATGCAGACCTGCATAAAAGCTAATACCTGGTGTGGTTAATATCAAATGTGAAATGTACTCTAGTTCTTCAAATGCTGACTGGTTGGACAAAAAACTTTCAAAATCACCAAGAAATGGGGAAAGAAAAATCCAAGTGTGTTGAGTGTCACACTGTGAGGAAATAACTATGCTGCAAAAAGCTTTAGCAATCAGATTAATGTGTCTGAAAAGTGTGTCTAATGCAGTGGTGCTGCTGTGGCCCACATCAGAAGCAAAAAAAAAGATAAAAGAAAGAAAAGCTATTGCCCCACATAATACAATTATTATGGAGTATAGGAGTATTATGACTCAGCAACAACCATGAAAATATCTGAATGCATCAGCATGTCACAACACCGACCATATTACTGATATGTAATGGGGATAGGAAGGCCCTAACCTTCCTTGCTATTAAGATCATGGTGATCTAACAGGAAACAAGTATGTGTTAGTGTTAGTGGGTGAAATAGCATTTCACCCACTAACAAGTCACTCTATGTGACAAAACATTTTTAGGTTATTACATATTTTGGCATTTAGTATATTACACAATGTGAAACCATGTCATATTTTACAAAGGTTTTTTTGGGTCCTACAGAAACACTAGATTTTCTTGTATCAAAGCGAATGAAGAAGAGAAGTCAAACGTCATCTATCTCTGGTAAACAGGTTAACACAAGAGCGTTTGCAGGAGAGGCTGTACACGAGAAATACCTGAAGCATTTTAACCCATTTAATGAAAGTAACAGGGATCAAAGCAATACATGTATTGCCAGGAGGTCTGAGTTTTGCGAACCACGCTCTGGAATGCGATCTGGAAGGAAGGAAGTTACGGCAAATACAGGCTTACAGGGTAATTACACCAATGAATTACAGATTAGGCCAAAAAAAACCCCAACATATATATATGTCTAAGCAACCATTAGATGTATCAGACTGACAGGGTTACTGATTGACCTTAACATATGCACACGATCAAATCACAAAAACCAGAGAGTGATGAAAAATGACCATTCTTTATCAATATGTAAAGTTACAAGACAGCTCTCAGGACTACTTGACCTAATAATTCATAAGGGGGTGTATCAAATAAACAGACTGCAATAAAGAGCAGTTTGTATTTCAAAGCTGGTTTAATTCAGTATTTGGAAAACATTGTAATTGTGGGCCAGGACACAGAAATCCCATAACCTGAAAGAAGTGCTTAAAAGCCTAAAACTAATGCTTACAGAGGGAATATACTTTCACCCAATAACACAATGTGTCATACTTGAGAAATGTCACTGGCGCAAAGGGACTTCACATGATCCCAAAGCGGCAGCACCCACTACCACCACTAAAAGCTGTTACTAGTAAACTACATTCAGTTCTCCATTTGATCAGTCACTATAGTGAGTCCATGTCTAATTTTGCCAGTCCAATAACCCCATGACAGGATTACTGCAGAGACTGGGAGTCGTTAGCGTCATGTGATAAACGCCCCTGATTTTAGCTGGATTTATTGTGCCTGTGAGATTTAGCATAAAACAAGTGAACAACACGGAAATCCTGATGCTTTATCCTGACTTCCATTAGCAGATCACAGATTTCCTAAACCAAACACAGCGCTCTTGGTGCCTTGCATTCCTACCGCCGCATATGAAAAGCAGAAGAAACCCCAAAAAGATTTTGCACAGCGTATGTTGTTTGAAAAATCAAAGTATACACAGCAGAGGATGCTTGCATTTGTGAAACTTCGATTTGACCTCACATGAAAACTGTGTTCTCAGGAGTTTCAGGGTCATCCTATAAACAAATGCCTGGCAGGTTTTTTTCACAGAGAGATTTCAGCCACTGTGGGAGGGAATAAATGTGCTCTTCAAAGGCCTTCTATGGCGGTGTACACTTGATACGGTAATTGAAAAGCAGCAGAATCTGTGTAATATGCAGCAACGTATAGAAAACGCATTTCACAGACTGTGATTTCTGCATCTGGGAGAGGACACACCTTCAATTTTCAAGGGATGTTAAACAGATGCCTGTTATGGATGGATATGCACGCTGGCCTGACGTAATTCAAATGCAGAGCACCGCAGCCAGCAAAACAATGCAGAGCACCGCAGCCAGCAAAACAAATGCCCAAAGGGATAGTGACAGATGATGGACCTCAATTTATATCAGGTGAATTTGAGCTATTGCTAAAGTTGAAAGTAGTCAGACATCAATAATTCATTCCACTGCCCAGCCTCAAATGTGTTGGCAGAAAAACTGCAGTAGCGAAAAAACATCTCCAAAAAGCAAATAGACCAGCTGGTGGTTTGTGTTATTACAGCACTGTATTGCTAATTTGTTGTTATGTACACAAACATATGGAGCACAACTACCAAGAAAAGAATAGCCGTTTCTGATAAAAGAGGCCTATGCTAGACTGTCTGTAGTAAAAGCAGAGGTATCTCAAACTGATCTCATCAGTAGCCGGTGAACGCAACGGGAACATGTGATGATATGTAAAATGGGCTTTGTATACAAAGAGAAAAATCTGGGTTCATGAACACACTGGAACAAATGCTGGAACAGACTCAGATAATCATGAGATTATCATTGAGGAGCATACACCAGAGGACTGTCAGAGCTCTGTGAAAGCTTTCAGGGGGAATGTGTGCCTTCTTCAGTAACCGGAATTATTGGATTAAAGTCTCACCATATGGACACAAGGCTGATAAATGGAATAACCTGAGTGTCTGAGCCAGCCTTGAGCCAGCCATTGTTTTCCTTGTAATTTTTTTTTTTCAATATGGCATGGTGTCACTGAGTTTGCATCACTCGTCTGACTGAGGTGAACATCCCCTTTACAGAGATTTGGATGAATGATGTGTGGCCCAAAAGACAAAAATTACTCATCCTGATTCATTGTTTCCTCATTTTGCTAACTCCATAAGGTTTTTTTTTTCAAAAAATTTTAATTTCGATTTTTTAAAATACATGTATATGTATATTTATGTGTATATAAATATATATTTACTGCTCAAAAAAATTAAAGGAGGCACTTTTTAATTCGAGTGAAGCATAAGTCAGTTAAACATCAGGGATGTTGATGTAGCAGAGTGGGCTGTTAATCACTTTCAGCTGCTTCACCAAATTAGACTGAAGGAACAGTTGGAGCAGATATGGAAGGAAAATTTCAATGTGATCCCAGTGGTACAAGGAGCATTAGGACATTTAACCCCAAAACTGGAAAAGTGGTTTCAGGAAATTCAAAGCACAACATGGTAAATGGTAAATGGTCTGTATTTGTATAGCGCTTTACTAGTCCCTAAGGACCCCAAAGCGCTTTACACATCCAGTCATCCACCCATTCACACACACATTCACACACTGTTGATGGCAAGCTACATCACCAACATCAGAGGTCTCAGTCAAGAACAGTGCAGTGCTAATAATGGCTAAGATACTGCGCAGGACCCTCAAACTCCCAGAGCTCGAGAATCATATATATGAAGCTAAATTCTATTTTATTTTTTAACAATTATATTTTTTGTCAATTTTAGGTTATTCACTAGAATTTGGAATCACAAATGTGTCTTTTTCTAATTTTGACATTTCATTTAACCTTTGTCTTTTATTAGGCGTTTCTAGGAAGCACTTTGGAACACTGGCTTTGAAAAGTAACGGTTTTTTAAATGGTTTAAACCAGGAAATGTGTGTGATGCAAGCTTTTGTTCTTAACAACTTTTAAGAGCAACCTACTTTGCTTTGTGGGCCAGACCAGTGGAATTCCCCTTTTTGTCAGTGTAAAAAAGTTCAATTACTCATTTAATCCTTGAGATATCGTAACATAAGAAAAATAAGTCCAATTCTCTTCCCCCCGCCATATGTTTTACACCTTATTGTAGGAGCATGTAAAGCTTTGCAAGCATTGGTTTAAAAAGTCACCTAGATAATGAAACAAAGCCTTCTGCCTCAGCCTGTAGTTAGGCTGTCTTCCCACAACTGTAGTGGAAAGTAAGGCATGTTTATGGAAAGTAGTCCAGCAGCCTTTAGCTCACGGTTTAATTAAATAGAAACAAATTTCTTTGGGTTAACCACTTCCAGCTCACTGCGGAAACTACTATCTTATCTGCCCTTGAGCAAGGTGAAGGGCTTTTGACATAAAGCAGTAGCCGGAAGTGTTGCGCGTGTATATGAGTGAAATGATATCCGTCTGGCTCTGAGCTTTTTTAATCAGAGCACGAGAAAGTGGACGACTTGTTGACTCGCCACGTTTTCTGGTGTCACGGATAGCGCTCAGATTACACATAACGAGAAACGTAACCACAGCCTGAAAGCATGAATATCGCCCAATCAAACTACTTATGACTATTGTTAGCATACTTGTACTTCACTGGCGTGTTCTGGTCTGGACTATTCACATTAAACAATAAATACATAATTACTCATATAGCTTTCAGTCATAAAAGCTGTCCTTCAGTCACCTAAAGTGAAACCGCGTTTCAGTTTTGGAGCAGTTGCCCGCAGCTGCGCTAACAGTGATACGTTTAGGGTTGCTCAGCATGTGGTGGTGCGTTCACGGGGCGCACGCCCGCGCACACACTCTTGCTGGCTCGTAAACCGTATCAACCAATCGGCGCTCCCTCTTGAGGAGGGAGGGAGAGTTTTTACAGCCCGCTACAAATACTCGTGGCACATGTTTTATTTTAAGGTCGCCGCTTCAGCCCGACTGAGAGGAATGGGGACCTCGTGGTAGTCAATAAATAAAACTTTCACTATCACCACAAAAAACTTCCTTGCAGCTCTCTGTAATTTTGGAAAACTAAACACTCAGCGCCTTGGAGATATAGCCTTGAAGAAACTTTTCTGCAACTTTTTTCAACAAGCCAAAGAGGGGGAAAAAAAATTCTGTGTCTGCAGTGGGGAAACGTGGGGACATTAAAGTGTCCATCCATCCATCCATCCATTCATCCTTCAAGAGTCCCGCTCGCATCTCTCGCTTCCTGCCACTTGCCAACATGACACGGAGATCGTGTACCATTTATGTGGTTGGGATCACCTGCGCCGTCCTGCTCGCGGTTGGGATTGGCTTGTTTGCAGGGCAAGTTTTCCGCACATTAATGAACAACCGCCTGAAAAAGGTAAAGGGAAAACACACACACCGTTATATTCTTGTACTTTTTAAAGCTCACGTGCATGCATGGCTGCTTGAATGAGTGATGACGTGCATTTTTTCCCCCTGTGAATGGGTTAATTGTTTACAAGGAGAGTGTTGAGAATGATGAACACTAAAATGATGCCATTGTCTGTGTGCCTGTGTGTGAGACCCTTACTCATTTGCATACCCTCCAATTCTCTTCAGACTTTCCAACATGAGCTGTTTTTTCCTGTTGGTTTTATTGCATTCATTGTTTTATTGGTTATTAAAATAAAGTACTGTTTTATTTATCCACATCAGAAACCTAGGTGGATTGCGCTGAATATAAACAAGAGTAAAATAGTTGTTCAGCGACTGTTCAAACAGACAGTGATGGGCTATGTGTCTCAGAAGGAGTGGCCGCGTGAGGTGGAGGGGGATGGGCCAAAAATGGGCTGTTATGGGTTAAGTAGCCTGTACTATGCAATCAGCACTTTCTCTTCTCTACAGTTACATAGCCTTAGTCCCAGTTCCTTTTGCATGAGCACACACATGACTATAAGTACTTCTTCCTAGGAAATGACTGATCTAAAGAAATTCCTATTGATCTCTTATGATGTGATGTGTATATCTTGTCCCAACAAGTCACTCCTCTTGTGCAAACAAGTTACTTTCTTGTCCACACAAGGTAAGAAGTCAACTCAAACGTAACAACATAACTTTTCATTGACTTTAAATTAAGTGTAACAAGTTAAGATGCCGCAGCCACTGTAACAACAGAGAGACCTCAGTTTCATACGGGACTGTAATGAAATACCACACAAGATAATAAGTCTATCACAAAAGGTTAAATCCCCTGAGGGGACCCTACTCCATGAAGACATATGTTACAGGAGATTGTGGATGCAAAGAAAGTGTTGCCGGTGGTGTTCCAGTTCAAGTGGTGGCCCTGTGATCTTATGGCTTTTGTTTACATGTTGCATTCTTATATGTTCCAGATGGTGTCGTCAGCAAATTGCTGTCTTCCCAGTGAGATTGTTAAGCTTAGCGCTATTGAAGACCATGTTGGAAGGGGGCTGTGCTTGAACTGAGGATGTCACTAAAGCAAGTGACACTCTCAGTTTAAGCACTCAAAGTGCTTTCTTACTATAAGCCACACACACACACGGATAGACACTTTTAACCCTAGAGAACCCATGGGGTCAAATTTGACCCCATGGTTTCCCTAGAAAACCAATGGGGTCGGCTCTGACCCTATGGGTTCTCCAGGGTTAAGCTAGCATTTACACATTTACAGTCTGCAACTGCAATGCAGGTTGGAGGAGCCAGAGATCAAACCACCCTGTCAGGCATCCAGCATAATGCACAGTCTGTAAACTCAGCGACCTGATTGGTACCTATATGCAGTGTTGGGAAGGTTACTTTTAAAATGTATTCCATTACAGAATACAGAATACATGTCCCAAAATGTATTCCGTTACGTTACTCAATGAGAGTAACGTATTCTGAATACTTTGGATTACTTAATATATTATCATGCTGTTTACAACTACATGAATGTACTATTGCTGTGATTTATTACTGTTACTGAAGGTCCGCGGCTCCGAACCGTAGTAAAGGGACCTCTGGCTAATACGGTGGGTTCTGTGTCGGGCTCGTAGCTGAAAACTAGCTTTACTTTGTTGTCTGGGTCAACTTTGCTAGCAAGAGACAGAGAGAGGCGTTGACAGGCTGCTCCAACGGAACTTATTGTTTTTGGAGGAAAACACGAACACGGTGTACTGTTGAGTCTTAATAGCTTACTTACAACTGGGCTCACAACAACAACAAAAAGGTCTCTCTCACCCAGGAAACACGCAGAGAGACAGTGTCACCCTGTAACCATGGCAACCGTAACGCTGCCACCTGGAACAACAGAAAGTAGCTGTCAAACAAAACCCAAACAGTCCTGACCCGCCACAATATGAAACAGGAAAGTACCGCCGTGTAATCCATTTATTTCAACAAAGTAACTGTATTCTAAATACCACCTTTTTAAACGGTAACTGTAACGGAATACGGTTACTCATATTTTGTATTTTAAATACGTAACGGCGGTACATGTATTCCGTTACTCCCCAACACTGCCTATATGTCACCCTATTTCCCACTAATTAGCTGAAGCCCTGCTTTACCTAACAACAATGATGTTCACTCTGTCAGCTGTTACTGATTTGGGAAAAGACTCCCATCTTAACTGCTAATAGTTACAACCTAAAATGTGCAGCTGCCCTGTCAACAGGCTGTAATAATCTGGGACTAATTTGCATTAAAAAAAGCAAATGTGCTTTATCTTTTCAGTTCAGACAAGATAGGCTGCTGAGCTCATAAAGTTTGTTAACGTTGCACATACACTAACATGCATGCTTATTCCATTTAAAATTGGTAAATGTGATAACAGGATTTTCTGTAACTAAAATATTAGCTGTGTGAACTCTGTTTCAACATCCCACACCAGTGCAATGGGTAAGATAGAGCAAGTTTGGATAACTTGCAATTAATATGCTAATATGAAACTGCCATGCAAAGCTAATGGACGTCATGGCGGTAATTCTTCAGAATTTGTTATGTGCTGTGGACTTTTTTTTTACTATGCGCCTTTGTGTGTTTGCCGAGTAAAATCAGTCCTACCTTTGGCCATCAACGACTGTTGCCAGTGATGTTTAATGCCCTTAGCGGGGATATTAAAGATTCAATTAGTAATATGTGGAAAAATAGTAATGAATACCTTTTGTAGTTCCCGGCATTTGGTATCATTTTTAGCGTTCTGTTTTTAATGTTAAATCTTCCTACTTTGTTTGTCATGGCAATGACAAATGTGGAACTCTAACATCATGGAGTTGGTTCTGATATTAGCTAATCTAGCTATGCTAACTACAGTTTACGCTGGCCAAAAAAGTTAAAGGAAAATGTTTAGGTCAGAGTATAGCAGTCAGTTAAGTAGCAAAGGGGGTTGTTAATCAGTTTCAGCTGCTTTGGTGTTCATGAAATTAACAACAGATGCACTAGAGGGGTAACAATGAGACAACCTCCAAAACAGGAATGGTTTCACACGTGGAGGAAGCAGACATTTACCTCCTCATCTTTTCTGACAGTTTTTTCACTACTTTGGCATTTGGCTAGAGTCAGTGTCACTACTGGTAGCTTGAGGTGATATGATGACCCTACAGAGCTAGTCAAACTCCTCCAGGATGGCACATCAATACGTAGCATTGCCAGAAGGTTTGCTGTGTCTCCCAGCACACTCTCAAGAGCATTAGGAGTAGGAGATTCCAGGAGACAGGCTGTTACTGTAGGAGAGAGAGCTTGAATCTAGATAAGCTAGAAGGTCCTTAACCCATCAGCAGGACCAGTATCTGCTCCTTCGTGCAAGGAGGGACAGCACTTTCAGCACTGCCAGATTACCTACAATATGACCACCAGCAGGCCACTCGTGTGACTGTCTCTGACAAAACAATCAGCAACAGACTTTATGAAGGTGGGTCCTTTTAGTGGGTCCTGTGCTCACCACCTGGCACTGTGGAGCCTGATCATTACCAGAATTGGCAGGTCCATCACTGATACTGTCTGCTTTTCACAGTTGAGAGCAGGTTCACCTTCAGTACATGTGAGAAGGAGGAGAAGCTGCAGAGAACATTCAGCATGTCTAGTTTTGTGGTGGGATGGTTATGGTCTGGGGAGACATATCCATGGGGGGAAGTGTTACATAATTAATTTACTTATTTATAGAACTTTCTATAAATGCAGTGTATGTGTTGTCAGTGCTGAGAGGACGTTTTCCACCTGTGTTTGTGGGTTCCTTTTTTTTTGTTCAAGTCAGTGGTTGTGAATAATAAAAGGTATCTTGCACAAACTTTGCAGTGAAGGTTCCTCAGTTGTGGTTTTAGCTTTACTGATGCATTAAATTTCATCAGTGAGAGGAAGAGTAGTACATGCTTTTTAGGGCTGCCACAAACAATTATTTTGATAGTCGACTAGTCACC